AAAAAAAAGTGACGTTCTTTCCAAATCAAAAACAGGAACGAAATAGCCTTGAAGGAGAACAGCGGCCTCCACTTATCCTGTCACATTGTTAACATTTCGTCAAGTAAGCCCAAATCATGTATCCTGTGGACAAGGACAATTTCTGACGGGGGCAAAATATTTTGCGTACTTTGAATACTTTACTCCAGATAATTGAGACACCGCAACATTCTTCGGACCTAGTACTAATGGCGTTATTCAAAGTCACGTTTCCTTTGCTTTCTGCTCATTTTCCTTTCAGAGAACAAATAAATATAAAAAAGGTAACCTCTTCATCATCGCATTCTTGAGTCCAATGTCCAAACACTGAAAGAGATAACAGCACAACATTATTACAAAGTAGATTCTACAACTATCTGTCAATGTTTAGATTAACTTTCACTTCATCATTTCTGAATTTCTTCACAGTCAAACTACCAAAAATCAACAAATGTATAATAAGTGATTTTCCCTCAGCCGTGTTTCCAAACAATAGCTTCTCGTCCTCTAAACAAAGTTTCCTGATTCACATCCCCTACTTGCTATCGATGAGTGCAAAGACAAACATCTTAACAACTATCAAGCAAACGTTGCCTGTTGAATGGAGAAAAACAGCCATTGTACCTTCACAGATGTCACAATATGGTCTATCTTCATTTCTGTTGCCATGGTACTGAGTTCCTTGGTTGTCGAGTGCTCCTGAAGACTGGGTCGGGCAGTCATCCGTATCATGTTGATCAAATACATCACAGATATCACAGAACAACCGCTGCTTTATACCGGTTCTCGCCGGCTCATCATCATCAGATCTGCAGACAACGTTAACTCAGTCAGTAAATGTTTTAATAACTGCTCTTCGTTTAGTCTAAACTTACTAAAATATGTTTTTAATCATAAAACGTTTAACGAATTGCGCGTTTGTTAGTTTGCGCTAATTGAACATTACTTTTAATGGCTGTATAGGTTGTTTCAATGTAGATTTTCTGTGGGTGAAAGATTTACCACGCGAGAGACAAAACAATGAAATTGCAACAGGAAAAGCATAAGGTGCGGTTACACGGGGCACTTTTACCGTGGTAAACTGCCCTTTTACCACGGGAAACTGTATTCAGTATGGTGACCGACGTTTCCCGAGGTAAATTTCCCGTGTTTAGTATCCATGGATACGTCAAAAGATCACACGAAACGCCCATGACATTTAGCGTGGTAAGTTGCAATGGTTTTTGGATAGCCAAGGTACAAGAGCCAATCACGATACTACGTTTGACAGGAACACGTAACCGCAAAGTTTCTTTGCAACTTTCAGTCGCGACAAACTCCTTCGCGCCGGAATGAATAACTGTGACTTTGAGACTGTGGATATGGCGGAATTTCGGGCAATGCTGTGAGTAGTGTATTTCAATTGATTTCTCTACCTATTTACTAGACCGGTTATTTTAACAGTGGCTATAACCAAAATTATTTTTTTTCTTATTAGAAATTCGAGTATGCATGGTGATTTGCACAATGGATTTCTCTTTAGCCAGCGATACCAGACACGAGAAACTAACGAACATATCTATCCTGGTTATCAGCAATGTCAGCAGTTTCGCCCTAATGTATATACTAGTCACGATGAAAGTCCTTCTCGCAGTGAAAGTCCGTCGGGTTCTTCAGGTTCTGGCTCAGAGAATGTATAAACAAACGGTGGGAAGCGACCGAAGTCAAGATCCTTACTCTGCATACAAAGACCACCAAGAAAATCTGAAGAACTCCAAGAGTAGTAACGGAAAAAAATCTGTATGGGAGAACATTTTTTACACTTTTACTGAACGTTGTAAAACGGCTGGCATTGGAAGTTCCAGAAGTTTATCTCAAATACAGGAGAAGTGGCGAGCACTATTCGAGAAATTCAAAGCGATTGTTGACAACAGCAAAAAGACGGGTCGCGGCAGAGAATCGTTCAAGTTATTTGAAATGATTGGTGAATTTCGCCCAAAATTTGTCAAGCAAACCCAATTAATGGAGAATAAGAAGAATAGAGAATCGGAAAATCTGGATAAAGAAGAAGCACCCAAGGATTTAGCACTGACATTTAGATTTGACATTTATTTAACCTTGGGAAATCGCTATTCGCGTGTAACCGCTGGAACCACGGTATACTAAACCCCAAGTGTGGTGTACCGCGGGAAAATTTACCACGGGAAATGCCATTTACCGTGCTGTGTGTAATTGCGCCTATACGAACAACAAGAGGCTATGTTTTAATCGGTTATTAAGCTATCCGCGAATTTTTGTACTTTTCCTGAGTTTCTAAAACAGCGTTCGGCTGGTAACGAAAAACTTTGTTATTGCTTGTAAGCCTCATTGGACACGAAGTTTAGTAAGTTTAGTAAGTCCTCAAGCACTGACCCGCATTTACAATACGGCATGATTTCACTTATCGTACCTATTGCAGTACAAAACTATTTTGTTCAAGTGCTGGGACGTATTAAAACTTTTCTGCATTTGCAGAGTTGGTTTCTATTATGCTTATGTTTAGAATGTTGTCAACGCAGTATAGCACAGAAATGATTTTAAGTTCCCCCTAGTTAACGAAAATTCCACAAATGACTTTCCCGAGTATACTTATAGAACAAAGCCAGTGGTTGAGGTTCTGAAGAACTGCGGTAATATTTGTTTCCATACATGTTCTTCGTCTCCGTGGTAATTAGCCTGTAATCAAAGTCTGAACCTTTTAGACCCCTTGAAGACTGCAGTGAATAGCAAAACAATCACCCAGTGGATCTCAAAAGTATATTCACACCCGTGTGTCAGACTGAGAGAAGTGACCCAATAAAAGCGCGTGAACTTCAAGGCCGTCTTAGCAGTGAGAATACTACTGTAGACTGAATGTTATACAGCATACTCACATATCAAACATGGTGCCGTTTCTGTCAGGAATGTCTCCCATCATTAACATCTCGATCCTCTTTTCCTGTTCCTCTGTTTTCCTCTAAAAGGCATTAAAATGGACAGGTGTTCAGGATCAGTGCAGTAAAACGAAAACTGTATTTGCACATTAGAGTTGACAACCCACAATAAAACAAATCTTACTTGCAGATCCACAATCACAGAATTTAAAAAGTCAACCTGTGAGAACCAAACACAAAGTAGCATTAGAAAGAGGAATGATTTTTATCAAGTCAAGGAAACGTTTTTTTTTAAACAATAGCCCTTCGTGGGTTACTGTCAGGAATTTAATCACACCGCATTAGGAACATCTGACGAGCTATTGAGGGACAATGATTCCCATCAAGTCACAACGACATAAATTTTAATTTTAGCTCAGAAAGACACAGAAGCGACTCGATAGAGTATCCACGTGTTTGTGTTATCAGTAAGCGTATCTTTGGGGGACTTAAGCACAACAAATTCAAATTGACGAGGGGAAGCTGTGTTATCTGCTGGCATAATATATGAAAGAAACGCAGACAGTATCTTGGTTATAGAAATTTTAGGAATAAATTTTACGTGCTAATGAGGAGTGAATTATTGGAGTATTAATTCAGAGCTCGTTGTAAAAACGAGTGCAGAAAAAACCCTTGCTAGCTTGGGTATGTTGTGAACATGTAGGTATGAGGTAAATATCTGCGTCTGCGTCAATGTTCTTATAAAAACATCCTTATAAGACGAGAGTTTCTAGAAGTGAAGAATTTTGTACCGCAATGTAAAAGGTACAAGTAATCATTTCCACAATGCGTTATATCTCACCTGTGCTTCTGCGCTTTCCTTTTCAGCTTCAACGGCTTCTAACAAGTCCTCAGTTTCTCTAAGCTTACTCACCACACCTTCAACGTCAGGCCCTACCAAAGTTGTTCAGTTAATCAGGGTCAGATGCGCTGCCCCTTGTCTCTTCAGTGCTATTTGTACCATGGAGTGGACCGCTTGACACATGATTTGGGCCACAAAACTCATGAGAGTACAGAGGAGTGCACAGTTCAAAATGCAAGTTGGAGTGTTTAGTTTCTATTTTGATGACATATAGGCTCGATTTCCGCCGCTCTTACGAGTCCGGTCTAAATTCCTTCGGGGGCCGAGGAGCGCGGGCTCCTTTCCCGAACAGCGGCTGGTAATCGAGCCTAGACAACATACGGCTGAGGCGCTAAAATGTACATGTATGTGAAACTTGGTCACGATGAATCAACAAGTAAAATGTTTACTATGGAAGTGACTAACACTATTTTCTTTTTTTCCGTTAACAGAGATAATGACCCTCTCGGTCGCTATTCCTGTGATTTTGTTCAAGAAATGCTTGAAAAAAAGGCCCGCTCTGTGCTGCAACGATGTTAAGAGTTGCCAATTTGACAGTAAGAACTCATGTCAGTATGAGATGGACTAAACAATGTTGCTTTAACTATGTATATCTCTTTTTTGTTTACTCCTCTCCTTTGTAACACGATTATATCACGGTGGCTGAACTACAAACTCTGAAGTACGTTTTCTTTCACATCACCACTGTTGTGGCCAATTCCTTCCAAATGAATGTCAAAAGGTACTAGAATGTTACTTCTGTCTTGTTGTCAGAGCTGTTGCATTACCATGGCAACACATGTACTTACTGTAAATATGCAACTACGACAACAGTGTTCAATCGCACTCATAAGATTTTGTCATTGTGTGAAAGAATAACTTGTTTTTTCTTTTTTCTGTTTTCACATTCATCTCCCAATATATTTCACGATTCCTCTGTTAAATTTCATCATTTGTTTTCTGATGCATACTCCTGTAAATTCTTGAATTTCTTGTAAATGTAAATGACAATGCTTAGTTTCGTCTTATCCCTAGAAATTGTATTTAGCAGGGCCCCTCTGGATACCAGCCACTGTGCTGAATGGGCCACCCTGCATAAATAAAGTTTTACTTACTTACTTACTTACTATCCCTAAAGTATACACGGTAATGGTCAAAAAGAAGGCATAGAAGGCTGTTCTCAACTAGATCATAAAACTATAATCCTAGTTGATCTAGTTGAGAACAGCTTTCTATGCCTTCTTATGCCACTAGTGCTAGGGTCTTTTAAGCCTCAAGTAAAGACATCAAAGGTTTACGTCTCTGTGATTTCAACGTAAATACATACACGCTAACGACATTTTTCGCATCAACAGACTGTTATGTTTTAACGAACAATCCTGTTACTCACCACTCACAGATTGAAAGGTACTGGAAGCAAGTTCACTGTCCTTCTTGGCTAGTTTGGTCTTAAGCATTTCATTCTAGAAAGGAAATAGCAAGTTTTTACCGCAGTCAGATCATGAGTTACTTATGTCAGAAATGCAAAAAAAAAAAAAAAATTGGGGGTCACCGATTTCGTTTCGGAGATAAAGCTTGTGGAAAATAACCTTGATTTTGAAAAATTGGCGCACGTAATTCAGCATGGTCTAAAGGTATTTAGAGTTAAAAACATCGAAGGTGAGTCAACGGAGGCAAACGATCTTAGTCATATTTTGTAGAAGTGGATCTGTTGCGTAAATAATTCACAAAACTTAACCCTTCAGGAGGCATTTGAAACCGTCGCACAGATAAACGAAGAGCTAAAATGAACAGAATTCGATGCATTTTACAAAAAATTCAAAATTAAACTTTTTTCGCTAAACGTAGAAAATCGGTAGAGAAAATGATCCATCAACAGAAAAATAGGGGTCACCGAACGTCCACGATCGTTAAATCCAGGCAAAGCTATAGCAATGGCCATCTGCCCTATCATTGTTCATTTTATTACTTAGCGTGCGCTTTCATGCATGACGTGGCATGTGAATTTGTGTGCTCAGTAAAGATGCGCAGAAACAATTAGTTCGAACGTCCTTACGCTGAGTAATTGAGGGAACTTGTGAAGGTCTTAAAGTACACATAGCGCAGTAAATATGACGTTGTACATGACAGGATAATAGCCGCACAAGTTTTACAATGTAAAACTTCATACTTGAAGGGCTGTGTGTAACTAAGGGTCTTAATTCTGGCTAACATGATGCATCTTAAGAGCTTCTCCCTGAGAGGCCGGGGCAGACTTGGAAATGAAGGTCGGCCGATTTCGCTTAAAATTGGTACACAAAGTCGTTATGTGGACTTATGTAATATGCCAAAGTTTCAGGTTCAACGACCATTTTTAGCCGAGTTCTGGATATCAGCTCCTCAGGGGTCCTCAGAGGCTGATTTTTAGTGTCATTTTGGCCACTTTTCATTCTCTCTTTTAGCAATGTAAAATTAATTTCAGACAAAACCAAAACCATATTTGTAACGCCCTATC